AAATCGTAACCCTCTAAGTAACGTTGTATAATTTATATAGAATATGATTTTTTTTTTGTATTACAATTGTAAAGCAAGTTAAAATCTATATAGATTTTTAAAAAAAAAATTAAAAAAAAAGGTTTGGGCAAACTTTTACTAGTAAAGACTGTTAACTTCGTCATAATACCCACATCTACCTTATGCATTTTAAACATTTTTTATTTTACCTTTTTTACAACTTTCTAATATTTTATTTTATTTAATACATCAAGCAACATATGTTGCCCACCAAAACGTTCTGTATTTTTCGGAGGAACAAACAAAGATCTTTGCGGCATAAGATTAAGCAAATTTACACCATTTATAAACTCAATCGCAATCATTAAAGAAAAAAAATTGCAATACCACCTTTTAAAAAAGCAAACAAAAGGGTAATAATATATAATTAGATTAATAAGAATTTGTGAAATTTTTTAAAAATACTTATTTTTGATTATTTATTTTTAGGTTCGGACACATTCATTTTCATAGTGAAAATGATGCTGCAATATTTTATAATTGTGTAAAAGATCGACCATTTCCTGATGGGCCCGAAAATATTGAAATTCAATTTTTGCCGTCAAAAGATGAAAATGACGAACATATCACATATAACATATCAAATCATGAAGAAAACTTTTTACAAAATAACAACGATGAAAATTATATTTATGAACTGCCCGTAATATTTAAATTAGATTTTAAATACGAAAATTTTTATAATTATTGTATAATTTATAATAAAAAAAATTTTATTTAGGACAATTCGAATAAGAGAAATAAAAGAAGCAAGGATAAAGCTTTAAATGAAACCGACGTTTATGAATTGCCGATAATGCTTTAAATTAATTTAGTAGACTTTAAACTATAAATATTTTTAAATTAAACTATAATAAAAATTTTTTATTTTAGGATAATTCGAAGAAAAGTAAGAGAAGCGAGGATAAAATTTTAAATAGAACTGATAGTTATGAACTTTTAAATTTTAACAAAGAAACTCGTGAAATTTTAAATCCTCAATATGCATTATATGAGAATCGGTGAGCCTGATTGATAACAATTGTATACTTAATATTGCTTAAAAATAGTATATAATTAATTTAATATCATTGTACGTACGTACAGTACGTACATAATATATTTTAAAGTGAACAATACGTTATAGTCATCTATATACCTGGTATAGAAAACGAAGATCAACTTAAAGTAAGATTTTCACGAGCAAAAAAAAATTTGGAAATTTCTGGTGAATTTCAACCCTTGCGTTCCGAACGAGTTCTCAAAAGCACAATCTCTACAGGACCTTTTGTTTTAAATCTTTGTTTTGAAAAAGAGTAAATTTAATACGTTATATTTTATAGTGCTATAGCACTATGATGCTAGGGTATTGTAACCAATTAAAATTTAAGATCAGATGTAACATGCAAATCACCCTTTGTGTAACAAAACAATAAACTTTTAAAAATTTAGTTATATCTTAAAATGTTAATTAAAAAATCAACTTTTGTGTTCTAATAAAAAAATTACTTGCAAAATTTTAATTTAAACTATACCCTGCCTAACCATCCCTAGGAAAGAGATTCGCTGTCTATAGCTATACGCTTCTTTGCCTTTTTCTCTTCAATATTTCGAATCATTTTTGATTTCTCTACTTTTCTTACGTAATCTTTGATTTCTCTTCGGGATTTGGAAATCTCGGCTTGAAGACGATGTGTTCTTTCTCTATTTTCGTAGACTGTATTGTGACAAATTTATATTTAATACCGAAAACTTTTCTCTCAATATAGAATATTATTAATTTAATATAGTACCTATTTGTTCTGTTAAATTATTCCATTTGAATTTGGGATGTTCCATAAATCATCATGGTAGAAATTACGCTTATTGATCTTGAAAAACTTTAATACAGAACTATAATGAATATTCTTGCAACTTGTAGTTTTTAAAAAAATAAAAAATTTCGATTTCATTTACAATTTTTTTTTCCTATTTTTTATTGATCTGATGATTATTAATTTTAAATCCACTTATTAGGTGGAATTTCCAACCGAGTGCAACATAAATTAATTCGAAATCCACAAAATTTCGATTTCGACGTCAACGTTAACATATAGAATATTAGGTCGTTTTCTCGGGTTTGGTTCCATGAATCGCTTGACTAATTCAATATAACAGTCAGAATACCAGATGTCGCAATCCATAAAGGCAAAATTTTTGGGCATGCCTCCGGTTTTTCAGATTTAAGGGCATGCCCCCAAAATTTTTTGTATGATTTTTTATAATAAATATTTTGAAAAAAGGGCATGCTCATGAACCCTATGCCCCACCCTAAATCCATGACAGATTTTTATCGCAGAGCATTACGGTTATGATAGAGAGGTCGTACTACCTCGAGGTCATGGTGCCATGAGGTAGTGTGCCGAAATGATGTAGTATGTCGTATCGGTATAGCGATACTACCAATTTCATTAGTCAATCAAGCTTCGAGATCAGGTAAAGTCAAAATTTTCATATCGATATCATCGTTATATAAGGTCTTGGGTTTAAAGATCCAAAATTCTTTTTTATGATCCAAAACTTTATTAGTGACAACGCGATAATACGATACGGTATACTACATTTATATGGCATACGGCACTTGATGGCATACAGCACTTTGACGACATACTTCTACGTATACGGCAACTGTGCCGTATCGCCGTGATACTTTGTGAAGGTAGCTACCTTAAGATTTTAAATGTTTGCACCTTTAATTATAACCATCAAAAGTCTTTCTTCCTATTAATATATTTCCGTCATCATGATACCCAAAGTGTAAATATCAACTGCTTAGATATTTAATGTTCCTCGTAAAACCATATAAGACGCTGTTCACTTTTTTATACAAATAAAATATTTCCACTATGAAAATCTCGAAAAGCTTATTTTAACAAAAAAATCTTAATGACTACTGTGTTACTGTAAATTAATAGTAAATGCTACAATCTGTCTAGCAAATCTTGTTCTTTTATTTAAACCTCAAAAAAAAAAAAACCACCGCTTTACTTCAGCAATTGTAATGTCTCAAAAACATTAAAGAACATAATATAAAATTTGAGGTATAAAAACATTTTCCAGTACTCCTCACTAATCAGATGTCAAATACAATGAATTTGAATAGCTTGTTCGAAACATAAACGATAAAAATCTTGGTTATTCAATCAATTAAAATAACAACGGGTTTCTCGGGTTGCTTTTTTGAGATGCTTAAAGTGGCAACCCCATTTTTTATCGCAATTGAGCTTTTATCAACGTCAATCCTAAATAATAAACATAAATATAAATAGTTTTTTAAATAATAAAAATAAAATGGGAATATTAGTGTAGTACTATAGCACTATAGTGCTACTCTATATATAAATACAAGATTGGTATAACATGTAA